CCTCCACCGTTGCCCCTCCTCATCCGGTGCAAATTATAGAAAAAGCCCCGGGGAATCGATACCAATTTTTTGGCAGTCCCCGAAGTGCTTGAACACGTTTTGCAACACGCCGAGGGGGGTTCCACCATAGAAGGAGAAGGGCGTAATGGCGGCGGCGAGACGCCGCCGTGTGTTCGGGACCTGCGTCGTTTTCTTTTCGTTCCAGAGAGAGGAAAATATCGAAAGCGCAGTTTGTTACTGGGCCGGGATTCGAACCCGGATCTTTCGCTTGCTGGGCGACTGCTCTAAACCACTGAGCTATCTCACGCTCCACGCTCACGACACTCTCCTCTCTTTAGATAACGTTCAGAGATGACGATCGAAAGCGACAAGAAGCTACACGTCCTACACTTCATTTTTAAATTAATATCATACATTAAACAAAATATTTCACTATAAGTTATTTGTCTAAAGTGCTACAAATTAATCCGACAAACATTTTATATAATGATAATTATAATAATTTCTTTCATGAAAACATTTGCCATGTTTGCCAAAAAATTGATGTCGACCCTGGAGCTTATTTTTATTATTTGCACCGGATGAGGAGGGGCGACGGTGGAGACGGGCATACATGGACAGCAGGTCTTAAAGGATAGCAATCTTTGACTTTGAGAGACTGACAGCTGTACCACTTGGTACAGTAACATTGTTCCTCTCTGTAGTCGCTGTGCGCTCGGGATCGTGCCAGTGATGTCGCTTCCGAATGGCATCTCTGAGCGTTATCTAAGGAGAGGAGAGTGTCGTGAGCGTGGAGCGTCAGATAACTCAGTGGTTTAGGGCAGTCGCCCGGCAAGCGAAAGAACCTAGATTCGAGTCCCGGCCTAGGAGGAAATCGCGCTCACGATATTTTTCTCTCTCCGGAACGAAAAGATACGCAGATCCCGAATGCAAAGCGTCTCGCCGCCACCTAGTACGTGCCCTTCTCCTTCTATGAAATGAACGATAGATCTTTTATAGTTTATTACCATTCAGCTACAATAGCCAAGAAGGGGACTTGGTTTACAGAAACTTATAAACATTTTTTTGTACTTATCCACTCATCCATCCATCCATCCATAACATTTTTTATTATAAAACTATAAAACTTATCTCTATTCTCTTTCGCTTACCACACCTATCTTTAACCTATTCCTATACATAAACCTAAAATTATACATTTTTTTTTCACATGCCCTATCACAGCCCTATCACAGCCCTATCACAGCCATTGGTATTGTCTCTTTCCTATAATACCTCTTTTCCCTTAACATAAACTGTCGCCATTCTTAACTAGATTTAATTTGTTTTCTCTACTTTCTCTATTATTTATACATATATTATAATATTCCCACTCTTTATCGCATTCTTATATTACCATGTATTTATACCATTTATATACCATTTATATACATATACATGTCTTTACAATTTATCTTTTTCCCTTTATTTTTTCTCCCTCTCTCTCTTTCCATTTTTTTTTAAAACTTTTTCTTTAATTGCATCTAATTCATCATTCCCTATCCTCTCCCTTCCCCTTTCTCCCATCCTGTCTATTTCCTTAAACCATCTCCTTCCTACCTCACAAGTATACATGTAATGTCTAATATCATCCTGATCCTTGCCGCACATTATACATTTACTATCTCCCTCCCCTAACCAATATTTATTCTTTTACTCCATATTACCATATCTTAGCTTAACAAGCGCTCTTACCTCCTCTCCTGACCTCATCTTATCTCTCTAAACTGCTCTTTTTTAAGTAACTATATTCCTCCCTTTTCTTATCTCTTTATATCTCTTGTTATATCTGGCCTCCAAAATCCTATTTTCCATCCATTGTTTTTGTATTTCCCTTTTCATAATCTCTTCTTCTATATTCCAATTCTCCTTCCTTCCTTCTTCTACCTTCTCTAAACCCCACCCATTTCTCTGTTATAATATCTTTTCCTTTCTCTCCCATATAAATCTTCCCATTTTCCTTCCTCTTTTCTCTCTAACACTTTTTTATTAAACTTTCCTCAGTACTATTCAAAATCTTTTCTTCGTACCTTTTCGCCTTTATACCCCACCCTATCCTTAATTTCTCTATTCCCAGTTCATATATAATTATATACCTCGGTGTGCAAAAATCTAACCTGAAAATCCACCTTATATAATCCGATGGATCTTTTATATTATGTGATCTGTGCTATATAACATAGACAAGAGTAGATATATAGGGTGTCCCATAACTGGTAGAACAACCGTTAGAGGTAGGTAGAGGGTGCAATTTGGAACTGAAAGTTCCTCTTCCATTTTTGGATCCAACAATTAGTTAATGAGATATTAATTAATTAATTCTGCCAATCCCTTAACGTCCCGAAGGAGCGCTCAAGGCTGTAGAACGCCGTGGACTTCTTAGGGGCCCTGCTTGTCCGCGGGTAACTTAAATGTTTTCTGCATGTCGGTGATTGAGAATCGTGAATGATTTTAGTGTGTGTGTACAAAAAGGGGAGAAAAACAGACAAGTAGGGCCTCTGAGGAGTCCATAGCGTTCTACGTCCCTGAGCGCTCAGGGCACTAAGGGATTTAATTGATAAAATGGAAGAGAAACTTTCAGTTCCAAATTTCACCCCCTACCTACCCCTAACGAGTGTTCTACCAGTTGTTGGACACCTTGTATATATGCGCCGTATTTTCAAAAACCATATATTTAAACTGTTTCTTCCATAGTAAAATTACATTAAAATGCCCATTTTTAGGGTACTCTATGGATGTAGAGTATTCGTTTATTATTAACAGTACTCTTTAAAAACAGTAACAAGTACAATAAATATAGATAAAATACTATAGATAAAAATAAAACATATTTTACAACAGGCATGTTCTGTCCTGCTTTTATTACTGAATATGTGTACCCTTACAGAAAAAAAATCATAAGAGAAAACTACTGAGAACAATATAGGAAAACTGTTAAAGTAACTGTTAACTGTTACACTATTGAAAAATATTGGAATACTACTGTATATGTATTACAATACTACTGGAAAACTATGGAAAACCTATTCATTAATTTTATAAATAGGTTTAATATAAATTTTCAATTGTTAATACAGCAGTATTTTCGCTAATCGACAAAAATACTACTGTTCTCAGTAGTTTTCTTATCATATTTTTTCGCAAGTGTACATGAGTGCGTGCACATTACATGTGATGCAGTGGTAGAAGTGTGGAAATGCTCTAGATACTATGCTTATTGTAATATTTAATACGTAAAAGGTGTTATTCGGTCATATTTGGTACGAAATTACACACAGCTGACTTTGTATCAAAGCAAGGCGATTTGTTACATTCATTTAGCGGTTATATATTAGTTATTTCGGTAAAAAAAGTATACGAAGCATTTTATAAGTATGCAGAACAAATTGTAAATATTATTTTAATGATATACCTTTTTCTTTAGCGGTTTGTAGAACACAGTTTTTATGGACACGGTTCCTTCATTTTTGACATCATCAATCCAATATAGCCACAGTGACTGAAGAGTGTTAAAGAAAAATTTTTCAAAGAAGATATTGAAAATGTTTTGCTATTAAAATAAAAAATTGTGCAATTATTTAAAATATTAAAAACTGGAAATACACTAGAATCCGTTAGTCCATTTTTTACTCGTCGAGTAGAACTATATATGCGGCGACGAAATGAATTTTAACAATTATACTACAAATTATTACACATTTCATATACATATATGTACTCTTATTGCCGTGAACACAGATTGTTGCATCGCCCACAACATCTACGAATATATAAACTGATTTTTACGAGATAATGAAATTAGCCGAGATTGTGTTTTACACGCAGAAAAAAGATTAGCCGAAGGAGCTAAAATATAGCGAAAATGCGGCAGCTTAAATGTGTCTTTGAAATAGGGACAGCTAATATCGTTGCTACCGAACCTCAATTTATTAGCTCTTTGAAGTTAATCGCTGAAACAAAAAATATTAGTTACATCGCACATTAATACTAAAATCATATTCACACTCCTGACTAATAGTTTATTGCTTTTTTTAAATACAAGCTGTCGTGTTTATGTATATTCTGATGTTGCCTAATTTACCATTTCATTTAATACTATATCGTATCTAAAAAAACATTTAAACACTGATGGGCTCGAAATCTAAGACCTTTGGTTTGTGAGCCAATCGCTCTAGCCACTAGACCATTGCATCGATTGATATAACAATCGTTTTGTATTGTCTATATGTAGTATAACCAGATAGAAAGCACAGCTAACTGATCTTAGTTATTTATGCTACTAATTTTAGCTATCAAAGTCGTACTTCGTATCAAATGTACTTTACCTTCTACAGCTAATTTTTAGCAGTGACAATAAAGTTCGAAATATCTAGTGAGATTTAGATGCTATTTCTAAGTCATTTTTTTACGTGTAAGTTTAACTAATTGGATCCAGTTAAGACAACAATTTCTAAGCGCAATTAAAAAATGAATTCCACGAAAACTAAAGCCGTATGAAGAACAGATGATTATTTTTGCAAAATTGTGCTCTATTTGTCATAGACAGATTAATTTGCAGCATTGCAGAACGTATTATTCGGATCATTATTGCAGTGAGCATATACAGGTGTTTCAAAGTTTGTATGAGTCAAAATACTAAAAGTTTGTATATATTAATATAAATATCTTGACTCTTACACGCTAACTCATTATGTTAAAATTCACTGATATTCCTGTTGAGGAAAAACTTATTGATGACATAAATACATTTATTACAAGATATGTGCATCGCGTACGCGACAATAATCCAAATGTAATAAATTTTACTTATTTCCACACTAATTATGGACCGCTAACATATATTTTTATCGGAGTTATTAATTATGAGAAGAAGGAAACTATCTATATTGTAATAGGTGTCGCTTGGAAATCCTTTAAAAGAAGGCCAAAAGCGGCAGGACAGACACACTCTCTCGCAATGTTCTGTTGATTGTACCATCCTTGACAAATATAAACATTAAGTAAGAGAAAAGTTATTATTGAGTTAAGCCTTATCACTTAGAAGGATAGATAGATAAAGCGAAGCAATCATTACAATATTTGCCCATATTTCATTTTAAAATCGCATTTAAATGCTAGATTCATTGTTTATATTCCCTACAAATAAGATAAAATATTTATATTTTGTACTATCTCTTCCAAATCACTTGCACGCAGCGCAAAGATATATTCGTGTTCGCCCAAATTTGCTTCTTTGGGAGGAATTTCCGATTAGTATAAAGCAGACGAATTTCATGGTATATTCTGACCGCGGAATGTCTATAATGGCAATCAAATCAATTCGGCGTTGCAGATTATCTATATGCAGTCATTATGCATTACTAGCACATGCAAAAGTATGTTGTAACATGTATAATGGAAATTTCCACGGTAAGATATTTTGCAAGCCGAGGGTCATTATTTGAAAGTTCAATGAGTTCATTGGTCTTATATGAAAATGCGCGAAACCCCTTGTCTAAAAACATTCATATATTTGTGAAGACTTTTTTACTTTGAATTAGATAACGCAATGTTCGATGAATATTAAGTATACCGTGTCAAAAACGTTACAAAATAAAATCTCACTATGGCATAGTCGCGCTCGCTAGATGATAACCGTAACATTATTTTTCTTGTAGGACGCACGTATATCGCGATGGAATATATAAAATTTACGGCGATTTTAATACTGGGAATAGTCCCATACATGCTTCGTTCGAGCGTGGAAGCTCAAAGAATATCTGATAAGGCGGTGAAGGATTCCTCCGATAACAACGTCTTTCCAAAGGATTTTCTATTCGGCGTTTCGACCTCTGCGCCTCAGTACGAGGGTGCATGGGATGCGAACGGTAAGATATACAATGAAGATAAGAGGAAGATATGGAATTTCCTAAGCAAAAATGAATTTCTTCCACTTCTTATCAAAGACATATTTTTATATTCTTCAATTATATTATTGACACACACGAAATATATTCCTCATGTTTTTATAAAAATGCACAGTTGGGAAAGTTACTTTTAACCTTTTCATATATACCTGCGAAATATATGTCTTCTACTTATGAAAAAAATTAGAACTTTAAGATAAATAGTTTCCTATGGATTTTTACTTTGACTTAATCTAAAGAGGAAGATGCCTATATGTTAAAAATTAGTATACTTTTAAATTTAATATCTTTGATAATATATGTTTATTTAAACTTTTCAAAAAATTCAAGTTTTATATAACATATTGGCAACGTCTTCTCAGATGTTTTTCCGTCTCGTAAGAATTTATAGAAGAGAGGATCGCGTTTTGTTTACAAATAAGACTGTTGCCTTAAAATTTATGTAATTGCATAAATATATCGACAATTAACAATATATGAAACATTAAATTTTGATCTATAGTCAAAAATGTGTTCAAAAGTTCCTTGTAGTCACTATTTGAAGTCTATTACCTTAAATTTAAATTTTTATATTCTATTTGTAATTAGTATTTAGAAAAAATTTAAATCCAAGTTCATATTTTATATATCAATATTTAAGCTTTTCACTGCCGCAATTTTGAATCCGCTATTTCGAACTTATATTTTAATAGCAAATTTTGGACTCAGTGCTCCAAAAACTTCTATAATCATCTTAATATAAAATATACCTTTGCTAGGAAAATCGATATAAAAATGTTAAAAAGTAATTCGCTTTTCAAGAAGAAACAACTCGTATAGATTTTTATGTTATTTTCTTCGTCGAATTTTGAAGATTTTTTACAATTATCTTTTGCTGCTGTTCTCAGTTTGTAGATATATTCTGCATATTTCAAATAACCCTAAAGCGATTACATTTGTTACGCGAAACATGAAATTGCGTTGTCGTTATTAATAAAGAATAAAATAAGAAATAATGCCGTTATTCAGTTGTTACTGAAAAAATGTAACTTGTAACGCTGACGGCTTTACAACTCAGTAAATACCGATTGTAACCATAATATTAAATTAATGTTATAATTTCTCATTCAGCAAGAAATAACGAACCGTTGTAATTTCCTTGACTTTCTTTACCAAGCTGAAAAGACTTTTTCTTTATAACTCGCCACTGCTCATTCCGTGTAGATATATTCTGCATACGCAAAGTAAACGATAAAAGTAATGATTATTCATTCCATTCTATTCGTTCGTTTCCATTACCCAAGAAATGCAACTACATTATTGTTTACGAATAAAAAAAAATAAGTTGTTACTGAAAAAAAGTATTGGTGACGGAAAAGTAAAAATAACACATTATTTCACATTCTGTAAAAATGTATACGATTCTCAAAGTTATAAGCTGAAAATGAATTGCAGGTAGAGGACTGTCCGTATGGGATTACATGACTCATGCAGATTCGAAATTGATAGAGGACGAGAGTAAGATGGATGTAGCAAATGATTTCTACCACAAGTACAAAGAGGACCTACGTCTGGCGAGAAGTATTGGTGTAAGTATTGATTATCAATATTTTATCTAGCTCTGAATTAAAATCTAAGTATCTCATTTGAGACAAGATTCAAGTAATAACTATTAATATGGGCCAAGAGAATCTATTTTCTTCAATTAAAACGCGTATGGTTCATTCATTATCACGTTAATTTATTCAATAAATTTTTTTTCTCATGAGGTGATAGCATGACAGAATAAAGTCGCACTGCTAGACATTAGTCGCTTGCAATATTATTTGACTGAAATAATCAACAAATCAATAATCAAGATTAATCAATCATCATATACGTAATTGTAAATACTATAATCGATTGATGAAATTAATCATTAATCAAACTTTGATCTGATTTACTACACATTGACTAATAATTAATTTTATCAATCCATTAAATTATTTGTAATTACATATATGACGACTAATTCACTTTAATTATTTGTGTGCCTATTATTTTAATAAAACAAAATTTTAATCGATTAATGCTTAACACTGGTCGCCGTTAAAGTTCTAAATATTATTTTAACAAAGCACAGCTGAAGTACAAGCGATATGATCTCGTATTGATTTATTGGAAAACTGGAAAGTGTTAATTATCGTCTATTAAATTTGGACAATTAATCAAATTTACGTTAATTGGGTATCTTTATTTTCATAATAACATATCCGCCACAGACCCAAATGTTTAAGCTCTCCTTCTCATGGACAAGAATTTTACCCAGCGGCTTTACGAATCATATCAGTAAGGAAGGTGTGCGATTTTATAAGAATGTAATCGATGAGATATTGGCGAATGGAATGATACCAATGGTCACATTATTTCATTGGGATTTGCCGAATGATATGCAGAAAATGGGTGGCCTAACTAATCCATTATTTGTCGATTGGTTTGAGCAATATGCTAAATTTGTATTCTCTACTTTTGGCAACAAGGTATGTCTTTATATTGATTGAATATTTGTGTATGATACTCATTACTGCGACACATCTGTTGTACATGTTATGTTTTGTATATGTTACAACTGTATAAACTTGTACACTAAGGAAAATATGGTTTTTCGTTATTTGTAACCATAATCACATTAAGAAATAATTATTAAAATGGAATTTAATTATTATATAATTATTAAAAAAAACTGTGGCCAAGAAAACCATCCTTTTAATTAAATTCTGCTTTAACGTTAGGGGTAATAACCTTATATGCACGATACTAATACCATTTTCGTGTTAAAATAATAAAAAAATATGTTTGATATAAAAAGTAACTATAATTATAAGTTAGAGAAATTAACTATTTTCTAAGTGTAATATTTTCATCATAATGATTATTAATTTAAACACAATAGTAGACGAGAATTCAAAACGTTGGCGTGAAACGCATCAATAGCAGTATTATAAACAATACGGAATAATTATAACAAACGTTTCGATGTTATAACTATTGTATATAGTTTATAATGTCATTAATATAGTTTAATATAAAATCAGTGTTTTAGATCTTCATTAACCCAATTTTACTTTTTGATTATTTATCTAAGAGCCTTATACATTATTAATCTGTTAGCTGAATCATTTCTGATACAGAGAAAATTTGAAACAGAGAATCGCAGATCAAATCGCGGTTGGAGTAGGCAGATTATTATAGGGACACAAGAAGGGACGGATATTATCGTTACTCTTTTCATGTGTGGACATTTCATAAATAAAATGCGTATGGTTCATTGATTATCACGTTAATTTATTCAATCAATTTTTTTCCTCATGAGGTGATAGCATGAAAAAATAAAGTCATACGCACTGCTAAGCATTAATCGGTTGCAGTATTATTTGACTGAAATAATCAACAAATCAATAATCAAGATTAATCAATCATCATATACGTAATTGTAAATAATATAATTGACTGATGAAATTAATCATTAAGCAAACTTTGATCTGATTTACTACACATTAAATTATTTGTAAATATATATTAAATTTGTAAATAGAATATTAAAATAAATAATTTGTAAATAGAATATTAAAGTGGAGAATTTCATAAATTACGAATATGACAAATATGACGAATATGACAAATCAATTTGTTTTCTTCGTCTTCCACGTCTTCCAAGTTAAATAGCAGTTTTAACGCGATGAATTAAAATCTTGACGATGAATATTGCACAGGTGAAATTCTGGACGACCATTCATGAGCCAAATAATCTCTGCTACGGTGGTTACAGTTTCGAATTCATACCGCGCTTAAACTTGCCGGGAATCGCGGATTACTTGTGTGGGCATCATGCCATGCTTGCTCATGCGAGAGTGTACCACTTATACGATCGTGAATTTCGTCCCATTCAGAACGGTGAGTTGTAAACAAAAATTTCTATTTACTATTTGTGAGCGAACTATGGTGTATGTTGACTCAGAGACAATATTAAGAAAATTATTTTAGAAGAATAACTCGTTACCGTTACTCGGCAATCATTGAAAAAGTAACTTGCTACCCCTACTTTTTATTCATTAAAGGAGATAACCCAATGAAAAATTTTTCATGCAAAATTTTGTATGAAATTTGTCCATACATAATTATGTATAATTATATATAATCATATAAAATTATACACAATTATATATAATTATACACAATTATGTATAACAATATGTATAATTACATATAAATTTATGCGTAATTATGTAAAATTATATATGAATTTATTATACATAATTATATATAATTATATATATATATATATATAAGTTAATTATATATAAGTAGAATGTATGAACATGAATAGACAAATTTGATACATAATAATATATAATTATATATAATTATATATATATATATATATATAAGTTAATTATATATAAGTAGAATGTATGAACATGAATAGACAAATTTGATACATAATAATATATAATTATATATAATTATATATATATATATATATATAAGTTAATTATATATAAGTAGAATGTATGAACATGAATAGACAAATTTGATACATAATAATATATAATTATATATAATTATATATATATATATATATATAAGTTAATTATATATAAGTAGAATGTATGAACATGAATAGACAAATTTGATACATAATAATATATAATTATATATAATTATATATAAAAAATGTTTCATTGGGAATACATTTGTTATAAAGAAAAATTTTATTCTACTGCTAAAGAATGATTCGTTAGTTTACATTTTTTTAGGTAATTATTATCTTTAATAAAATAATTTTCTTTATAATAAATTATACTTTATAATAGATATACTTATGACATATTTTTGAGAAATTCATTATATTATAAAGCTCATATATATTCAAGGAAGATATATTCAAGGGAGAAGGTTATTATATGTACTGAAAGGAAGAATTTATTCTTTTTACAAAAATATTTTATTGAAGTAAAAGTTTTTGTTTAAATTTATGTAGTAAGCAAACGGCGAATATCCGTTTTAATTTAATATTCTTAATTGAACTGCTAAGCTTGCTAGGATTCGGAACATATCTTGATATAATTATTATATAATAAATTTGATGCCTGTGATGAACTTATAACAGATTCGCGGGCATACTATAAACTTATAGAATACTTGAAGCAAATTTATGATTATTTTGAATGCGTTTTATTTGCGTACCACATTTAGTTGAATGCAGTACGTATTTTTCTGTATATACTGTTAGTCATTTCCAAAGTTATTACCAAGTTGTTAGCATTATTTTTACTGAAAAAGTAATAAGTCGTTATAATCTCTATATAATATCTTTTTCATTAAATTTTAAAAACCTCCCTTTTATATTTTGTTGTCATCTATTCCACGTGCATTTATCTAGTAACAACGAAAGTAACAATTATATTTGTTGCCATTACTCATAAAATATAGTTGTTTTGCCATTATCATTACTAATGAGAAAAAATAACTTCGTTACCAAGTTATTACTAGAAAAAGTACTTCTAACGGTGTTACTTGTAAGTGTTACAAGTAACATGTTACTTTCTAACTCTGCTTCGAGAACATCACGAGCACCTAAATAATTGTATTTACGGCTGGCCATTTAGGTAAAGTAGGTTACTCTGTGAACTGTGAGTGGGCCTTACCAAATGACTCCTCGTCACAGGAAGATGTGATTGCAGTGGAAGCCGACTATAAGTGGTTTATCAGTGGTTTTCTCAATCCGATATTCAGCAGCGACGGTGACTATTTGCTCATCATGAAGAAACGTATAGCTAACTACAGTCGCGTTCAAGGATTCGCCAGGTCGCGTCTACCGAGCTTCACGAAAGAACAGATTCGCAACGTGCGCGGCTCAGCGGATTTCCTTGGGATAAATTATTATACGTACGAAATAATGAAAGCGGAAATAATAAACACCAGTGGAATTACCGATGTATCTTACGTCCATGATGTGGGCGCAAACACGTCAGAAGAGGTCCGTCCTCAGGTAGAAATCTACTTTTTTTTTTCTATGTATCTCTTTTTAATACACTGCAAAAATCTTGTATTAAATTTAAAACATTTCATTTGTTCTAATTTATCAAATTTTTCTGTTAATTTAACAACAAGACAAATATATTGGCACAATAATACAACTTTTTTGTACATATCTACTTACTTGTTTTACATAAAAAACGTGTCACCAAGAATTTGCATACTTATATATAAATTTTGTTACTTTAACACTTAGAAAAGATGAATATGAATTGAACGCAGAATTGTAAAAACAACACAAGACAATATGAACGACAATATGTTAAATTAATATATATTGTAAATTTAACAAAACAATTGCTATCCAGAGATTAGATAGATTTCAACATAAACAATTAGATTTATTATAAAATATTTTTTATAGTATATCTAATTTGGATGGTTACTGTTATATATTATTATAATTATTAGTTTGGAGGGATTTCTCATTGGAATAATTCTGTTATTTCATACATTTCTATTATGCTGTTTAGCAAAATTGGAATTATTCCAAACTTTTTTAATTATTTTGTGATAAACGCTTGGTAAAATTTAAATAGATGCAGAAATATACAGATAAATGTATTTTTTATCCTTTGAGAAAAATGGCTGTGTAGTCCCCAATGAAAAATTTTGTATACATAATTATGTAAAATTATAGAAAATTATATATAATTTTACATTATTATATATAATTATGTATGAAATTTGTCTATATATGTTAATACATGTTACTTACATATAATTTCATATATAATTTTACATAATTACGCAAACAATTATATATAATTGTACATATTATATATAACTATGTATTTTATATAATTTTATATGATTTTGTGTAATTTTATATAATTATATATAATTTTATATGATTATATATAATTATATATAATTATGTATGAACAAATTTGATATATAATTATGCATAAAAATTTTTATATCGGGTCAGAACTCGGTAAAATTGACAATATTGTCATTTTGACTATAATGATATCAAGTAGAATAGAAATAAATTAGTTTAAATTACAAATAGTTTCTAAATTTAAAGTAACAACCTGGAGCGAAATTTTAGCCCTTTTTTTTTCTTGAACTTTCTAACATCTGTATATTCTGAAAGATCAATGCATATTTAATACATATTGAAATTGAAGTGTTGCTTTGTAGGTTAGTAAGTTAAATAGAAACAAAAGAGATAGATATGGGCTTTAAAGTATTAAATAGGCTTCAAATGGAATATTGAGGTTGAAAGTAGGATCAAAATTTCGACTCGGGGAAGTTTATGACTGGAATTGTTATTAACAAGCTAAGAGAGCGAGCATACAAAAGCATTAAAAATGTACCAGCGAAAGCCCTTAGGAACGGACCATAGCGTTCATAGCGAACTCGTACAGATGTATCAGTATTCAAAGGATTAACTTCCTAACGACAAATATGCTTTTCACATTTTAACGAACTCTACTTTATGGACTTAAAATTTCTGTTAGAATGCACCGTGGGTATTTGCCAAGGCAATACAACGCTTGAACGAGGATTATCATCCTACGATTTACATTACTGAGAATGGCTTTCCCGAATCCGGTTTGGAGGACAAGGTTAAGATAGCGTACTTGCAGGGACACCTCACTGAAGTATTAAAAGCAATACAGAAAGGCGTAGACATACGAGGTTACTTGTTATGGTCGCTGCTGGACAATTTCCAATGGCAATATGGTTATAAGTAAAATCATTATGGGATTATTATTTGAATTTTTCTTTTATGACTGAATGTTAAATTTATATTTATACGATAACAAGCAATCATGATGTTTGTATTTTTGCAGGCGAAAATACGGACTTTTCCAAGTTAACTTCAATGACACGCGTCTTGTTAGAACTCCGAGGTTGTCAGCAAGATACATCGCTCACGTTTATAAAACACGACGTTTGGAGGATACGTTAGATATATAAAAATTTGCCCGCATTGAATACAAGCGTATAAAATAAAATAAATTATTCATGTATGTAACAATCTACAACGTTTAAATAAATCTATACGTATACGAAATAAGTACATGGAATCATTAGATATCCTATATCAGAAATATCCAGATATAAGGAAGTCCTAGAATGACAAGATGAGCTCTTACCCCTCTACCTCCCCAAGCAGTACATTTTGTTTACAGTGGCAACATTGACAACAAGTATATGCTTCCAAATCCGCTAGCTTTCAGTTGAGTTTTCATCTTGAGTGTTCTTAAGTATTCTTAAGTGTTAAGGTCATAACTCTTCACAAACAAGAGGTTTTTTGTGAACTCTCGCAGGAAGCAGAAAAGACAGCAGCTTCAGCTTATGTTGACATAATCGTAATTTTACAGCGTGAAAACCTAAAATTGAGATCTTGATGGCAAGAACTGACGGAATTGCCGGAAAAAGTTATAGCCGTAGCTCAGCTTGTAATTAACGTCCTAGAAATCGAATCTTGTCATTGATGTGTTAAATTGCATATTTAAATACACTCATATATGCTGACAGACAACGTATAATTATTCCTCGTTATCGTCTGTCATTAACATCGTGATGGCGCGATTTCAACATGTCATTGTGTAATCACGCTTACAGTCGTCTGATAAACTAATGTCATGTTACAATACTCGGCGTGCTAATATAGTAGAGTTGCAATTATCTCAATATTATAATTTATTATATTTAACGCTCTTTACGTAAGTGCACACTTTTATATATTTCGTCTTTTTACGTGTATAGATAAGTGAAAAATATACTTACCGATACATGACGTTATTTATGACAACCTTAAATATGTGTCGTAGTGACTAGTTTAACTTATACATATAAATTAGAAATACACATACACATACACATACATATACACAGAAATACACATACACATGCATACCGTTATATCTTAATTACGTGAAGAACTCAATTACATTATTCGTATAAAAATTCATTTTTATTTTAAAATATATGACAAAGTCTTCTTCTTACTTTAAAATAGTAATGCAATCCATCGTTAATATTTTTATTCGTTATCAATGTTAATCAATAAACGCTAGATATTTTTAGGAAATAACACACACGCTTGCTGAACAATAGTTATGTTACGGGAGAACACACAGATCGTGATGAAATATGCAAAGTTTAATGCGATTTTCACCCGAGAAGTTCTGCCACATATATTTTAATCACAAGTTAAAACTCGTTAATAACAAGTTAAAGAAAGATTTGGCCAATTCGGAAAGAGTACACTTGGCAGTATAACACTTTCCAAAGCAGTTCTCATTTAGAATAAAAAATATTATGAAATGGATTTATTCTAATAATTACCTTTATGTAATATTACATCTTTCGTAGAATATTTTTATATAATTTGATAGAATAATATATAATTTCGCGCGCGCGCGAGAGAGAGAGAGAGAGAGAGAGAGAGAGAGAGAGAGAGAGAGAGAGAGAGAGAGAGAGA